TGTGTAAAGAAGACAGCAACCGAAAGCTGTATGGCTTGAAATGTTAGTTGTTTAACAACTGTTGTTGATATAGTTATTGTTACATCAGACATGACAAATCGCTGAATTTTGTTCCACACAATTATAACTATCTCCTGCAAACATCACGTCGAATAAAATGAGATCGTCGTAATTTCTTTCGTCATAACAAAAAAAAATATACTTAATCCGTAATAGAAACAATGGCGCAAAGTATTTTGAATCGTCTGGAACTGTTTCGTATAATATTCATCATGTGCCAGGGAGCTGCCTTGTTTGTCTCTGGATTTAAAACTTCTTATGCAGGGAAACACACCTTTTATGCCTCTGAAAATTGCGCCCTAAAAGAGTTGGCATATTCAAACAAAATTGTACGATCTCGTGTCATCTGCGGACGGGAATGCAGCATGGATGAACGTTGCAAGTCTTTTAACTTTAACGACTGCAATAAAATGTGCGAGTTGAACCTTGCCACAAGACGAGAGCATCCCGAAGACTTCAATGCAACTCAAGGGAGTGTGTACTTTGATGCCGATGAGAACACACCTCTCTACTCACTGACTGATAGCTCCTTCGATCGCTACAGAAGTTGCAAGATGCTCTTTGATGCCGGTTATCGTTCAAGCGGTGTCTACACAATCCACACAGAGGGATTCGGTCATTGCAGTCTACTTGTCTACTGTGACATGGAAACTGACGGCGGAGGATGGATCGTGTTTCAGAGGCGACAAGATGGCAGCGTGGACTTCTACCGTAACTGGGCCGAGTACCAGCCTGGCTTTGGAAAACTGTCCGGTGAATTCTGGTTGGGCAATGACAACTTGGCGACTCTGACGTCTGATGATTCACGTGGAACATGGGAGCTACGAGTTGATTTAGAGGACTGGGAGAACAACACGGCATGGGCAAAGTACTCAGATTTCCAAATATCCCCGGGTGAGTACAATCTGAATATTGGCCAATACTATGTCAATAGCACTGCCGGTGACTCTCTTAGATATCAGAGCGGTCACTATGGGTATCGCGGAGGACAAGGCCTTCAATATCACATAGGACGTCCCTTCACAACAAAGGATCGTGACAATGATGCAGCAGATCATAATTGTGCAGAAAAGTTCGCAGGAGCGTGGTGGTTTAATCGGTGTTTTTTCTCTCACTTGAATGGTAGATATTACCCAGATACGAATGCAGGTAGTAACCAGGGCGTACAATGGTCGGCATGGAAACGGCGTTATTCTCTGAAAGCATGTAGCATGAAAATGCGTGAAATTGGACCATGAACGTTATATTGTTCATTTGTTTTAGTAAGCACTAGTTAATCGTTCCTCAAAATCACAACGTAAACATAGAACTGTAGTTAAGTGTTATTCTTACTGCACAAGAAAATGAGTTATTTTAACTCATTGTGTTATTCCGACCAATTTTTTCTCTCCAGTTATTAGGGAAAAAAAGTAAAAAAACAAAAAGAATTAAAAAAAACACACACAAGCGAAAATAGAAAACAAACAAACAAACATACAAACAAAACATTTAATTTAGCCTGATTCCATAATTTATTATTGGTATTATAATTTCACAAATGGAACGTTGCATAATGACGTCAGTTTACGAACTGGAGGACCCGTTATTCTTAAAAAAAAAATTACAAAATTAAACATCATTTCAATCCAGTTACTTTCGTTATAATTTCTAATAAATATTTTACTGCACAAGTGGACAATATTTTGGTTGCTGGTTATTCCTCCTGTCAAAGAAAGAACTTTAAAATGCTTCTCCACTAATCAAACTCATTCCTCTATTTGGCATGGAATTGACATTGTCAACTGTTGCTCACTTATGTTAGGGTTGCAAAAACTGGGGGGTGTTGCAATTTATTTCAAATGCGAGAACTAACTCAATGGTAATCACTTGTAATGATGATAACATCGCTGAAGCTAACCCTAATAAGTTTCATTTGATCTAAATTAGTATGCACATTTTACTTTTTGCTTGTATATTGCGATTAAAAAAGTGGTTCTAATGACCAATGACGTTGAATAAACTGAGTGACGAGAACCAATATAATCCAGGACTGTTTTTCTGTCTTGATTGATTTAAAGGGTCGAGTGTGCCAAAATGTGATTCTACAGCAGCGTGATTGACAGCAGTATTAACGCAATGGGATCCCTTAAGTTAAACACTACCAATACATTTGCCCTGTCCAGAAGAAATCTGCATTGACCATTGAATGAAGACATACAACGGATGTGAATGCGTGGCGAGGGTAGAAGTAGATATCTAAACTATAGAGGGTAGCACGTTTGCATAATAGATTCCCATCAAGAGGAGGCCAATGCCCAGGGAAGAGTTTGCCATTTCTTCGTCCGTCCCCAACGCACTATCTAATGCCGCTGGTGATCGCTAATCCATTCACAGAATCAGTTTCGCTAGGCATTGATGATAGGTCACTTAATATTAGCGATGCACGTTCATTCCATCGCGCTTCCGAAGAACCAAAATCCGTCGAATGAGAGCTCCGACAAATGGGAGGTCATCAGCGCCCTTGTATAGGACGGTGGATCTGGACGAGCGAACCCTATCCCATGATCGATCACGGGCTTATGACGCTTGGTGGCGCTCCATACCACACGGCTCTGACATCTTGTGGAAACGTAGATATTGACTACTTAGACACTGACAAAAGTTAGTTGCAGAAAAATTGCTAGGCAGATTTCCCGTAATTTAGAAACACAGTAATCATTCAAAAAGGCCTTGATTATTGTTTGAATGATGGCGAGTATTCTCGAAATCTTGAGACGTTTTCACAAGTCTTCCAACCAAGCAATCGTAATGTCATTAATACGCACAGATGAGTTGGGATTTTGTGAACATAACTCCGAATATAAGTGACTTTATTTAATTTCAGACTGTAAGTTCGGTCTGTTGATCAGTCGTTTAAATGTCCCTCAAGGTAAAATACGTCCCAATCTCATTAAATTAATTGAAACTAAATCAATATCGTGGCAGTTCGTGCTATAATTCCCAAATTGCTGATTATAAAGACCCCTGCTTAGATGATGGGCGCATTTATCACTATTACTTTCCCATTAAATGATGCGAATGGAGTCAAAGAACGTGAAATTGATATGAACGTACGCAATATTCCAAGTGCCTTCGTTATAACAGTCATGTATCTTTTATGACGACAATTAATTGACCACAATAATTGTGTTGCCTTGGCAGAAGGAGTAGGCATAGTAACCAGAGAATTGTCCCTCGAGAACAACAATATGTCCCATTCAAACTCGATCATTCGCTTCACTGGAACTAAATCGATATCGTGACAGTCCGTGTTATCATGTGAAGTTGCTTACTGCCGAAATGGCTGCTCCAATTACAAACGTCTGTATCTCTGACTTGCCATTCAATGCATATAATGCCTTTCTCATTCACTGTTGAGAATGGATTCAAAGAGCGTGCATTTGGTATGAACGCAATGTCTTTATGGTTTGGTGTGCATTATTATTACAGTGGCGTTTTCTATGACGACAACAAATAAACAAAGCGAATACTGGCCTTAAATCCTCCACAATTTATACGTTTACCCAATATTTACAGACCAATGAGATTATACGATTGTAATACAACATTAGTTCCCTTTTTGGTCCATTCCAATGACATTAGCACAGTTAAAAAACACTCATTTTAAATTGTTTTTATCTGTGCAAATTTTTTTATTTCTTCACATTGTGTATGATGCTGAAAGGTTTAAAATAGGACTGAAAAGCATAAGATACCTGTTCATATGGAAAATAACAGGTATATTCATCAAATTCATTGGTGTTCTTGTCATATTATGTGTCAAGTTGTTTGTAAAGATTGGGACACAATCCGCTACATGCATTTCATGCACAAAAAGGTACAGGGTAAATCCCTCAACTGTAGTAATACCATTGGAATTGACCAAAAAGGAGTTTTGTTTAATTGGCATTTTCTCAGCAACCCAATATGCTGTTTTCGTGATTACTTTTTTTTCAGTATTTGAAGAAAAGAACTCTCAGCTTTAATCTGATATCTAAAACATATCAATCACAGATCATGTTTTTGAAAAAGGCAAATGTTTCAGGGTTGCATTTTTAGGGGTCACCCTGTAGAGTCTATTATCTGCGTTCAGTCCACTTGCCGGGTTTTAAATGTACTTGTTTAAAACCGGCTTAGCACATATTCCTTTGCTAAGTGTGAATGGGGATGTGGTGTACTCAGTGGAACGGATTATTCTCTAAAAAAGGCTAGCATGAAATTGCCAGAAATGAAACACACAATAGTGAATAAAATGGTATGGAATCGCCACAAGCAAACTAAGATGGAATTTTGTATCAGAATGTTCGTATTTCAGGCTAAGTTCGTTGGTCGTTAAAATATATCCGCACAAACTGGACCTTGAAGAAACAAAATTGTATTCCAAAAATGACGGACGGAAATATTAAGTGTGACCATCATGGAAAGGGTTGTTAAAAAATATGCAACATGTAACAGATTCATTTTAGAACATAATAGGTCTGCAGATTATGTAGATGTTTACGGTATGAGCAACCATAAAAATGTGGTCATCATCAACAAGACCCTCAAATAACGGTGATCATTCTAAAATATTGAGAATTTTTCACATTTCTTTTAACAGAGCAATTGCCAGGCCTCCAAGTACATGAACGTTTGGGGGTGTTGCTGTGGACTCGACTCCACATATTCGTGACTTGATTTAAGTTTTCTTATTATATGGCTGTCAATTCAGGTGTGGTAATCATCCTTGACTGCAATAAGCTTGTGGCCTCCAGCAAAAGGAGTAGCCATAGTAAATAGGGAACTCTCTTTGGGAACATATGCCGCTCCATATATCAAATAATCTTTGCGTGCAGTAGATCAATTTCGAGAGGGATCTATTATAGACGTCTCCATCATCAGAACTCCGTTGATTATAACGAGGACTTCAACAAACTGAAAGAATGGCGAAACAGACCTATGTGGTTCAGAAAGTATTTCAAATAATATTCATCATATGCCTGGGAGCTACGTTGTTTGTCTCTGGATTTGAAACTTCTTATACGGGGAAGTATATGTTTTATGCTGCTGAAAATCGCGCACTACAAGAGTTTACCTATGAACAAAAACTTGTTCGATCGCGTGTCATCTGCGGACGGGAATGCAGCATGGATGACCATTGCAAGTCTTTTAACTTCAACGACTGCAGTAAAATGTGCGAGTTGAACCTTGCCAAAAGACAAGAGCATCCTGAAGACTTCAACGCAACTCAAGGAAGTGTGTACTTTGATGCAGATGAGAACACACCTCTCCACTCACTGACTGATAGCTACTTGGATCACTGCAAAAGTTGCAAGATGCTCCTTGATGCCGACTATCGTTCAAGCGGTATCTACACAATCTACCCAGAGGGATTTGGTAATGGCGGTCTTCGTGTATACTGTGACATGGAAACTGACGGCGGGGGATGGATCGTGTTTCAGAGGCGACAAGATGGCAGCGTGGACTTCTACGGCAACTGGGCCGAGTACCAGTCTGGCTTTGGCGATCTGTCCGGTGAGTTCTGGTTGGGCAATGACAACTTGGTGACTCTGACGTCTTATGAGTCATATGGAACATGGGAGCTACGAGTTGATTTAGAGGACTGGGAGGGCAACACGGCATGGGCAAAGTATTCAGATTTCCAAATATCCCCGGGTGAGTACAATCTGAATATTGGTCGATACGATGGCAGCAGCACTGCCGGTGACTCTCTTGGGCATGAAACAAATCCCCTGTGGTATCACAGAGGACGTCCCTTCTCAACAAAAGATCATGACAATGATGTGTCAGATCTATACACTTGTGCACAAAAGTACACAGGAGCCTGGTGGTTTAATAATTGTTTTTACTCTCACCTGAATGCTCAATACTACCCAGATGAGAATGCAGGTAGTTACCAGGGTTTGCAATGGCATTCATGGAAATCGGGTTATTCTCTGAAAGCATGTAGCATAAAAATGCGGGAAATTGGACCATAAACATTGTTTTATTAATATTCTTTTAATGTGTTGACGCTTGTTAATCATGGGAAATTGTACAGTACGTTCACCTTTCACCAATCAAGGTGCTATACGTAAAATTGGCCCATGACCTTTTTTTTAATCTTTTAAAACGCTCTGTTTGCACAAGAGGATTGGATGTGTGATCCATTTAATTAACCTTGTTACTGTTAAAATTATTTTTTTAACAATGATTTCCACAATTTATGTTTGACATTTAAAAATGTTCATTAACAGTTTCCCAGTTACTTTAACACTTGAATAGTTGAAATTTCATGAGACGAATTTAACAAAACTAGGACAAATCAAAACCTCCTACTTTGCGATTACATTGGACCAAGTATGAAATCTATTGGTGTTATTTTTTCTATGGAATTGAAATGATACAAGTGTAAAAGTAACTGGGAAAACCTAGATTTGTTTTTTTTTATTGAACGATAGTTCCACAAAATTATGACGTCAGTTTAGAACTGTAGTCGAGTGTTATTCCTACTGCAAAAGAAAATGGAAAGCTTAACTCTCTGTGTTATTCCAACCGATTTGTTTCTCTCCAGTTATTGTGGAAAGAAAAAAGAAAAGTAAAAAGCAAAATATAAACAAATAAAACCACATTACCGAAAACAGAAACAAACAAACAAACAAACAAACTAAAATTTTATTTAGCCTGATTCCATTATTGATTATTCATATTTATATTTTACAAATGGAACTTTGCACAAATGGCGTCGGCTGACAAACTTGATTGAGCGTTATTCTTTGGCAAACAAAATACACAAGTCAACATCATTTAAATACAGTTACTCTCGCAAGAAAATATTTAAAAATCCCCAAAACCAAAATAAATAGAATTTAACTTGTAAAATTAGTCGGGTGTCATTATTTCCAATACACGTGTTACTGCACAAGTGGAATATATATGGGTTGCTGGTTATTCCTACTGTAAAAGAACGAAAAGTAAAATGCTCTTCGACAAATCAAATTCGTTCCACTTTTTTGGCATGGACTTTTCATTGTTAGCTCGCTTATTTCGTGTTGCAAAACGTCGTGGGTGTTTTTTTTTTGCGGGGGCTGTAATTTGTTTTATTCGAAATGAAAGCAAATCAATAGTAATTACTTGTAATAATAACCATATTACTGACCCAACTATCAACATTATGCATAATTCAGGGCGTGTTGTCATTTTTCCAGTGCTTATTTAAAAGTACATTTAGTTGCCCATGAAACACACATCGAGACGCGGGAGGAATAGGCCACCTTAACCCTTATACTTTTCAACGGATTTTCATTAATATTCACGTTTTACATTTTGCTTGTATATTGCGATACCAAAAAAAAGGTTCCAATGACCAATGACGTTGAATAAACTGAGTGATGAGAACCAATCCCTGATTGATTTTTTTCTCCATTGATTTAATGTGTTGAGTGTGCAAGAATGTGATTCTAGCAGTGTGGTTGGCATTGTGTAAGGCCACTGGGCCTTACCATTCAAAACACGTATTGATGGATACCCTTTTGTTCACAACCTCGTCTTCAGGGCGTCAACTTCAACCTTACCCTGAACCCTGGACCCAGGGTGATGACTGGTTTCCGCAAGTCTCTCACGAATCGTTCCCGAATTTTGAGATCTAACATACATATTCGAAGCATGTCGAGCACTAAACTAAACCCTATTAACGGAATCTGCTCCTCAGAAATTGAGCACTGCCCATATATTTGCCCTTCTCTTAGTATTACAAGAAATGTAATCTGCCTTAACCAAAGAGTCCAGCGTACATACCTACATCGGATGTTAAACGCAACTCCCAATGTCTGTGACTCTATTTAATATCAGGCTGTCAATAAAGGTTTGGTAATCGTTCATCCTTGAGCGTAATGAGCTCGTGCTCCTAGAGTGAGGCATCTTTGGTAATCGTTTCCCCTTGAAGCAATTAGCTAGTGGCCTTAAGGGGTAGGCATTATAACCAGAATATTGTTCCTACGAGACCAATATTCACCCTCTCAATTTCAGTAGAATCGCTGGAACTAAAACAGTATCGTAAGAGCTATAGTTGCCAGCGATATGACTACTTACTTGAAGACTGCTGGTAATTTACTTTTTTATGACGACAATTAATTAACAGAACGAAGACTGTACTTCAGCGCTTCACAGAGTAAATATATCCATAATATCAGACTGATGGTGTAATGGCTTATAAAAACTCCCGCCAGCAAAGGCTTTACAGTTGGTGACTGGTGGAAAGACTGACCAATTACAAACCACTGACGTGGATGAAGTTAAACCAATCAGAGAGTTCCACATCGTCTACCTCAACCCATTGTTGTCTGTAAACTACCAAATCTCATCATCGCCAGGCCTCAGTATCAACAAAGCACTCTAGCAGTTGTGTAAAGAAGACAGCAACCGAAAGCCGTATGGCTTGAAATGTTAGTTGTTTAACAACTGTTGTTGATATAATTATTGTTACATCAGACATGACAAATCGCTGAATTTTGTTCCACACAATTATAACTATCTCCTGCAAACATCACGTCGGACAAAATGAGATCGTCGTAATTTCTTTCGTCATAACAAAAAAAAAAAAAAATACTTAATCCGTAATAGAAACAATGGCGCAAAGTATTTTGAATCGTCTGGAACTGTTTCGTATAATATTCATCATGTGCCAGGGAGCTGCCTTGTTTGTCTCTGGATTTGAAACTTCTTATGCAGGGAAACACACCTTTTATGCCTCTGAAAATTGCGCCCTAAAAGAGTTGGCATATTCAAACAAAATTGTACGATCTCGTGTCATCTGCGGACGGGAATGCAGCATGGATGAACGTTGCAAGTCTTTTAACTTTAACGACTGCAATAAAATGTGCGAGTTGAACCTTGCCACAAGACGAGAGCATCCCGAAGACTTCAATGCAACTCAAGGGAGTGTGTACTTTGATACAGATGAGGACACACCTCTCTACTCACTGACTGATAGCTCCTTCGATCGCTACAGAAGTTGCAAGATGCTCTTAGATGCCGGTTATCGTTCAAGCGGTGTCTACACAATCCACACAGAGGGATTCGGTCATTGCAGTCTACTTGTCTACTGTGACATGGAAACTTACGGCGGGGGATGGATCGTGTTTCAGAGGCGACAAGATGGCAGCGTGGACTTCTACCGTAACTGGGCCGAGTACCAGTCTGGCTTTGGCAAACTGTCCGGTGAATTCTGGTTGGGCAATGACAACTTGGCGACTGTCACGTCTGATGATTCACGTGGAACGTGGGAGCTACGAGTTGATTTAGAGGACTGGGAGAACAACACGGCATGGGCAAAGTACTCAGATTTCCAAATATCCCCGGGTGAGTACAATCTGAATATTGGCCAATACGATGTCAACAGCACTGCCGATGACTCTCTAAGATATCAGAGCGGTCACTATTGGTATCGCAGAGGACATGCCCTTCAATATCACAGAGGACGTCCCTTCACAACAAAGGATCGTGACAATGATGCATCAGATCATAATTGTGCAGAAAAGTTCGCAGGAGCCTGGTGGTTTAATCGGTGTTTTTTCTCTCACTTGAATGGTAGATATTACCCAGATACGAATGCAGGTAGTAACCAGGGCGTACAATGGTCTGCATGGAAACGGCGTTATTCTCTGAAAGCATGTAGTATGAAAATGCGTGAAATTGGGCCATGAACGTTATATTGTTCATTTGTTTTAGTAGGCACTAGTTAATCGTTCCTCGAAATTACACCGTAAACATAGATCTGTAGTTAAGTGTTATTCCTACTTCACAAGAAAATGAGTTATTTTAACTCATTGTGTTATTTCAACCAAATTTTTCTCTCCAGCTCTAGGGAAAGAAAAGTAAAAAAAAAAAAAAAAAAAAGAATAGAAAAAAACACAAAAGCGAAAATAGAAACAAATAAACAAACAAACATACAAACAAAATAAAATTTAATTCAGCCTGATTCCATAATTTATTATTAATATTTATTTTTCACAAATGGAACGTTGCATAAATGACGTCAGTTTACGGACTGGATGACCGTTATTCTTTAAAAAAAAAAAAATACAAAATCAAACATCATTTCAATCCAGCACTTTCGTCATAATTTCTAATCAATATTTTACTGCACAAGTGGAAAATATTTTGGTTGCTGGTTATTCCTCCTGTCAAAGAAAGAATTTTAAAATGCTTCTCCACCAATCAAACTCATTCCTCTATTTGGCATGGAATTGACATTGTCAACTGTTGCTCACTTAAGTTAGTGTTGCAAAAACTGGGGGGTGTTGCAATTTATTTCAAATGCGAGAACTAACTCAATGGTAATCACTTGTAATGATGATAACATCGCTGAAGCTAACCCTAAAAAGTTTCATTTGATCTTAAATAATATGCACATTTTACTTTTTGCTTGTATATTGCGATAAAAAAAGTGGTTCTAATGACCGATGACGTTGAATAAACTGAGTGACGAGAACCAATATAATGCAGGACTGTTTTTCTTTTTGATTGATTTAAAGGGTCGAGCGTTCGAAAATGTGATTCTATAGCAGCGTGATTGACAGCAGTAAGGCGACTTGGGCTTATGATTCAAATACGTTTGGATGGCAACCTCGTTGTCAGGGCGTTAACTTCAATCTAAACCACAATTATGGATTCCCATTGGTTGCCGCAAGTCTCCAAAGATGTGTCTAGGAATTTTAGAGATCTAACGTTCATCTCCGTAAAGTTAGTCTCAGTATCACCCGTTTTCCACGGAGCCTAACTCCGGTAGAACGTCTGATATAATTATCGAAGCATGCGTGACGTCATTTCATTCCGAGATCTGGACTAAGAATTTGATTGATCAATTTTGACGTCAAGTTTTTGTAATACAAAAACCTTTACAAAAATGTCACTCACAGTCGGCGTGATGTTTACGCACGCCGGGAGTTCGCATTACGCGCGTGTAGAAGGCGCCCGCTGATTGGTCGGGTTCTCGATGTCATACGCTGTCTAGTTGCCTAATTAATCGCCGAATCTGCTTACATATCATAGACCATGGCCCAAATTAAACCCATTTAACGAAAAAGCGGCCTCAACAATAAATTGAGGCCCACCCATTTCTGGCTCCTTCCATATTTTACAGATATAGCAATCTGCCTTAACCAGTTCACGTCGGATGACGTGTATACATGCAAAGGTTTTGAGATATTTGGAACGGATGACAGATAAACACACAACGAGCGAGGCCGGAAATATCTGTCTGCAACCCGCTCACAGTGAGCGAAGCCGGAAATGTCAGGGTGTGCTACCCGCAGATGACGGCCTGAACCCGTCTGGCATTGAGGTTCGCATGTAACTGGGCCGAGTACCAGTCTGGCTTTGGCGATCTGTCCGGTGAGTTCTGGTTGGGCAATGACAACTTGGTGACTCTGACGTCTGATGGTTCACGTGGAACATGGGAGCTACGAGTTGATTTAGAGGACTGGGAGAACAACACGGCATGGGCAAAGTACTCGGATTTCCAAATATCCCCTGGTGAGTACAATCTGAATATTGGCCAATACGATGCCAGCAGCACTGCCGGTGACTCTCTAGGTTGTCAGAAAGCCTCTCAGCATCACAGAGGAAGCCCCTTCACAACAAAGGATCGTGATAATGATGCAGCAAATTATAATTGTGCACAAAGATATACAGGAGCCTGGTGGTTCAAAGGGTGTTTTTTCTCTCACTTGAATGGTCCATATTACCCAGATGAGAATACAGTTAGTTTAATGGGCGTGCAATGGTTTTCATGGAATTGGCCCTATTCTCTGAAAGCATGTAGCATGAAAATGCGTGAAATTGGACCATGAACATTATATAGCTTAGTCATAAATGTATAATGCCGCTTGGCTTTTTTCGGAGGATAAACGCACATATTGCATGAACTATAACAATATTGCCACGAGTCTAATATTATTATAGGAAGTAAGGTTTTTACACATTTTATCCCAAAACAGGATGTAACGTTTGTTTGTTTTCCATTGAAGTTTAATGCGCCGATAAGTGCATGTTTTAAGGACTAAAATCCTCGTAAATTTTCCGCAATAACTATTATGACAATAACAATAATCGAAAAAAAATAATTGCATGCTATACATAACTATGTCTCTGTAATTACATATGATGTGAATGTTCTCGCTGTTTGTTAAAATGTAAAAATTGGGGGGAAAATATAATGGGATTTTGAGTTCCATATTTTTTATTGATATGTTTTATGCACAATTAAATTTCCACCAAAAAAAATCTGGAGTTAAGCCTAAAAATGCGGTTAAGTGTCATTCCTATTGCAAACACAAAAAATGGGTTATTTCAGTCTTTTTCTTCCGAATTGTACAATATGTTCATCTTTTACCAGTTCTGGCCTTTAATATCCATGGGCAAAGTTCTCAGATTTCCAAATATCCTGGGGTGAGTACAATCTGAGTATTGGTCAATACGATGTCAGCAGCACTGCCGGTGACTCGTGGGTACAGACTGGTATCCACTCAGGTTTTACTTTTTGGGTGACAGATCAATAGAAGGCCTAACCACACGCAAAAGTTCAATTAAATCTGCAAACTGTACTGCTTATGCTCTTATTTTGAAAAAAAAAGTTCTTTATATTAGTGAGGTGGAATTATCCGATAAATATATGGTTTTGAAGGATTTAACCTGTTGAACTTTCTACAACATGACAGGGCTGATAAAGTCAGATAAACGGATGTAACGAAGCTACCATATCTATTATATACGTATTTATTGCAAAATTATAGTTCAAAAAGTGACGTCAGCTTTTAAACTGCAGTGGAGTGTTATTGCAAAAAAAATGGGTTGTTTTAGCTCTTTGTTTTATTCGAACGATTTTAGAAAAGTAAACACACACTTAAAACCAAAAACAGAACCAAAAGACAAAAGTGAAATTTCATTATTGTTATGTTAGTCTGATTTCATTAGTAATTATTCATACTTATATTCTAGAACATTTTGTTGCACAAAATATGACGTCAGCTTAGAAACTGTAGATGGGTGTTTCTCTCGTCCAAAAAAATCAAACATTATCAACACATTTTTACTCCAGATACTATCACATGAAATATTTTAAAATCCATATAACAAAACGAAAAATCAATTTTACTTGTTCAAATAGTTTGATATCATTATTTGTCGTTCACAATTTTACTGCAGAAATGCAAACTATTTCAGTAGCTAGTTGTTCCTACTGAAATCACAAAGATTCAACAATAAAACAAATGACTTGTTATAATAATACTGCAAAATTATAACTTAGACATCATGCATCGCTAATAAGGTCTTATTTCTACGTTGATTAGCCTTTTTGAAATTAAATCAAATTGACCATTAAGCACACATCGATACACGAAAAGGAAAAAGAAAGCGTCAAACACAATTTTAAGGATCTCAAATAATATGCACATTTTAAACTTTTTTGCTTGTATATTGCGATACAAAAAATGGTTCCAATGACCAATGACGTTGAATAAACTGAGTGATGAAACCAATGCCTTATTACTTTTGTTTCTCGTTTGATTTGAAATATTGAGTGTGCGAAATTGTGATTCTAGCAGTGTGATTGGTAGTTGTAAGGCGACTAAGGTTCTTGCTTCAGAACACGTATGGCTACAATATATGCACCGTCATCCACAACCTCGTTTTTGAGACCACGGAACCATACCACGTGGTCTGTTCCAAATAGTCGAAGAGAGTAGTCCAACCATCCTTCAGCGAGTTAGAGCGAAGTTTGTCGAATTATGGTCTTAGTTCGCGCCCGAACTTGCTCTAAGCTGAATGTCTGGGCGCGCGTTCGTGTCGATGAATAGTAACATGTTCGTGACGTGTCTATTAGCCTTATTAACACGAATTTACCATCTCCCAAAAGCGTCCTCAGATTTTGTCTGCCATGTACTAAAATGGTTAATGTTGATCACAAACTCCTACACGATATAGTTAGTATAATAATATTTCCCAAATTATTTTTATAACAGGCTTCCCAGTATACAAATAAATCATCGTATTGTACACTTTCGAAAAAATTAAGAATTCGAATTTTAAAAATAATTAATAATCAATTCAAGTTTAGCAATCACTTTTATATAAAATATAACCAGATAAGCTCGTTGCTTTCGGCATAATAAGCGATCCGATGAGACTGCTTATTATGACTGTTGCTGAAATTAACAAGACCTTCAATACCGGACTAGTCGTTTAAATTATTATTCGGTTGTGAGATTAGAATCAAAGAGCGTGACGTTGATGAGATGAACGCAATGGCCTTTAACTCTTAATTACAGCGTTATATTCAGTACGACTTCCTAAAGCAAGACTCATAATTAACTGCCTGCTGCCGGCAATAACTCACGTGTCAATGGCAAGGGCATTCAGCTTCTTCCATAACGCATGCAGACAAAGCTATTAGAGGAGTAATTAGACAAGTTATTTGGACGCGGCCTATGCATTACAAACCGGCATTTCACGCCTACAGAAATTATGAGCACACATCCAATCAAAAGCTACGGTTTGTCACTGGGGGAAACATTGACCAATTACAAGCCCCTTGAATAGAATGACGTATGAACTTTGATAACCAATCACAGAATTACACATCGTCTACCTATATACCCATTGCTTGCCTAGCTATACCAAATTCCATCGCCGCCGGATCTATATCAATAGAGCTATCAAGAATCGGTCTTAAAAAGACAGCTTTGCAGTATATGGCTTGTAGTTTTGGTCACACAACCATCGTACGCAACAGATCGTTTGAATTCGTTCCCAGTGATTTAAACTAGCTGACATACAAATCGACTTTAAATCCTTCGTCATGATGGAAACAATGGCGAGACAGATTATTAGTTTTGAACTAGTTCACATAATATCCATCACATTCCTGGGAGGTACCTTGTCTGTCTCTGGATTTGAAACTTCTTCTTATACATGTACAGGGAAACATGTGTTTTATGCCGCTGAAAATCGCGCCCTAAGAGAGTTTGCATATGCAGCAAAAACAATGCGATCTCGTGTCATCTGCGGACGGGAATGCACCATGGATGAACGTTGCAAGTCGTTCAACTTTAACGACTGCAGTAAACTGTGCGAGTTGAACCTCGCCACAAGACGAGAGCATCCCGAAGACTTCAATGCAACTCAAGGGAGCGTGTACTTTGATGCAGATGAGGACACACCTTTCTACTCACTGACTGATATCCCCATGAATCGCTACAGAAGTTGCAAGATGCTCTTAGATGCCGGATATTGTTCAACCGGTATCTTCACAATCTACCCAGAAGGATTCGGTAATGGCATTCTTCGTGTCTACTGTGACATGGAAACTGACGGCGGGGGGTGGATAGTATTTCAGAGGCGACAAGATGGCAGCGTGGACTTCAACCGTAACTGGGCGGAGTACCAGTCTGGTTTTGGCGATCTGCCCGGTGAGTTCTGGTTAGGCAATGACAAGTTGGTGACTCTGACGTCTGATGATTTACAAGGAACATGGGAGCTACGAGCTGATTTAGAGGACTGGGAGGGCAACACGAGATGGGCAAAATACTCGGATTTCAAAATATCTCCGGGTGAGTACAATCTGAATATTGGCCAATACGATGCGAGCAGCACTGCCGGTGACTCTCTTGGCTATCACAGAGGACGTTCCTTCACAACAAAGGATCGTGACAATGATGCCACAAATTTTAACTGTGCCCAAAGGAACTCAGGAGGCTGGTGGTTTTATGCATGTTATCGCTGCCACTTGAACGGTTTATATTACCCAGATGAGAATGCAGGTAGTGACAGGGGCGTGCAATGGCGGGCATGGAAACCGCATTATTCTTTTAAAGCATGTAGCATGAAAATGCGAGAAATTCAACCATGACCTAAGATTCCGTAGTTCTTTCATGGTGGCGCATGTACGTCATGAATGACTGCACGATCATGGTCATCTAGTTACATTTCTCGCCTTTAATAATTTGGGATCACTTGTGATTTCTTTCCAACCGAACTGTTCATCTACTCACAAAGGGTTTTTAAATTAAAGTGCACGTGCACATGCGGTGCTGTACATCTCTTCTCGGAAAATGAAAGAAGGCTCTTTCCTCCCCACTTTGAAAATGCATCTGACCATCAGCAGTGTCTAAGTTAAATGCTTTATATTTTCCCAAATGCCTAAGATAAAGGAGTTGACCTAGGCTTGCTTTTGGACTCGCATTTTGGAAAAAAAAAAAATTTATTAAAAAAAATTCTCGGTCAATTTCAACTAAATGTACGTATTTATTGCAAAATTATAGTTGCAAAAAAAGTGTTGTTTTAGCTCTTTTTCATTCGAACGATTTTAGAAAAGTAAACACACACTTAAAACCAAAAACAGAACCAAAAGACAAAAGTGAAATTTCACCATTGTTAAGCTAGTCTGATTTCATTAATAATTATTTATACTTATATTCTAGAACATTTTGTTGCACAAAATATGACGTCAGATTAGAAACTGTGGACGGGTGGTTCTCTCGCCAAAAAAAAAATCAAACATTTTCAACACATTTTTACTCCAGATACTATCACATAAAATATTTTTAAATCCATAAAACAAAACAAAAAATCAATTTTACTTGTTCAAATAGTTTGATATCATTATTTGTCATTCACAATTTTACTGCAGAAATGCAAACTATTTGAGTAGCTAGTTGTTCCTACTGAAATCACAAAGACTCAAAAATAAAACAAATGACTTGTTATGATAATATTGCAAAATTATAATTTCGACATCATGCATCGCTAATAAGGTCTTATTTCTACGTTGATTAGCCTTTTTGAAATTAAATCAAATTGACCATTAAGCACACATCGATACACGAAAAGGAAAAGGAAGCGTCAAACACAATTTTAAGGATCTCAAATAATATGCACATTTTAAACTTTTTTGCTTGTATATTGCGATACAAAAAATGGTTCCAATGACCAATGACGTTGAATAAACTGAGTGATGAAACCAATGCCTTATTACTTTTGTTTCTCGTTTGATTTGAAATATTGAGTGTGCGAAATTGTGATACTAGCAGTGTGATAAATAGGCGGCTATTTCCCAAATTATTTTTTATAACGGGCTTCCAAGTATAAAAATGAATCATCGTATTGTACACTTTCGAAAAAATTAAGAATTCGGATTTTTTAAAATAATTAATAATCAATTCAAGTTTAGCAATCACTGTAATATAACCATATAAGCTCGTTGCTTTCGGCATAAACACCGATCCGATGAGACTCCTTATTATGACTGTTGCTGAAATTAACAAGACCTTCAATACCGGACTAGTCGTTTAAATTATTATTCAGTTTTGAGATTAGAATCAAAGAACGTGACGTTGATGAGATGAACGCAATGGCCTTTTATTTGGTACCTCTTAATTACAGCGTTATATTCAGTACGACTTCCTAAAGCAAGACTCATAATTAACTGCCTGCGGCCGGCAATAACTCACGTGTCAATAGCAAGGGCATTCAGCTTCTTCCATAACGCATGCAGACAAAGCTATTAGAGGAGTAATTAGACAAGTTATTTGGACGCGGCCTATGCATTACAAACCGGCATTTCACGCCTACAGAAATTATGAGCACACATCCAATCAAAAGCTACGGTTTGTCAGTGGGGGAAACATTGACCAATTACAAGCCCCTTGAATGGAATGACGTATGAACTTTGATAACCAATCACAGAATTGCACATCGTCTACCTATATACCCATTGCTTGCCTAGCTATACCAAATTCCATCACCGCCGGATCTATATCAATAGAGCTATCAAGAATTGGTCTTAATAAGACAGCTTTGCAGTATATGGCTTGTAGTTTTGGTCACACAACCATCGTACGCAACAAATCGTTTGAATTTGTTCCCAGTGATTTAAACTAGCTGACATACATATCGACGTTAAATCCTTCGTCATGATGGAAACAATGGCGAGACAGATGATTAGTTTTGAGCTTGTTCACATAATATCCATCATATTCCTGGGAGGTACCTTGTCTGTCTCTGGATTTGAAACTTCTTCTTATACATGTACAGGGAAACATGTGTTTTATGCCGCTGAAAATCGCGCCCTAAGAGAGTTTGCGTATGCAGCAAAAACAATGCGATCTCGTGTCATCTGCGGACGGGAATGCACCATGGATGAACGTTGCAAGTCGTTCAACTTTAACGACTGCAGTAAACTGTGCGAGTTGAACCTCGCCACAAGACGAGAGCATCCCGAAGACTTCAATGCAACTCAAGGGAGTGTGTACTTTGATGCAGATGAGGACACACCTCTCTACTCACTGACTGATATCCCCATGAATCGCTACAGAAGTTGCAAGATGCTCTTAGATGCCGGATATTGTTCAACCGGTATCTTCACAATCTACCCAGAAGGATTCGGTAATGGCATTCTTCGTGTCTACTGTGACATGGAAACTGACGGCGGGGGATGGATCGTATTTCAGAGGCGACAAGATGGCAGCGTGGACTTCAACCGTAACTGGGCCGAGTACCAGTCTGGTTTTGGCAATCTGCCCGGTGAGTTCTGGTTAGGCAATGACAAGTTGGTGACTCTGACGTCTGATGATACACAAGGAACATGGGAGCTACGAGCTGATTTAGAGGACTGGGAGGGCAACACGAGATGGGCAAAATACTCAGATTTCAAAATATCTCCGGGTGAGTACAAACTGAATATTGGTCAATACGATGCGAGCAGCACTGCCGGTAACTCTCTTGGGTATCACAGAGGACGTTCCTTCACAACAAAGGATCGTGACAATGATGCCATAAAGTTTAACTGTGCCCAAAGGAACTCAGGAGGCTGGTGGTTTAAGGCATGTTATCGCTGCCACTTGAACGGTTTATATTACCCAGATGAAAATGCAGGTAGTGACGGGGGCGTGCAATGGTTTGCATGGAAACTGCGTTATTCTCTTAAAGCATGTAGCATGAAAATGCGAGAAATTCAACCATGACCTAAGATTCCGTAGTTCTTTTATGGTGGTGCATGTACGTCATGAATGACTGCACGATCATGGTCATCTAGTAACATTTCTCGCCTTTAATAATTTGGGATCACTTGTGATTTCTTTGCACACGAACTGTTTATCTACTCACAAAGGGTTTTTAAATGAAAGTGCACGTGCACATGCAGTGCTGTACATCTCTTCTCGGAAAATGAAAGAAGGCTCTTTCCTCCCCACTTTGAAAATGCATCTGACCACCAGCAGTGTCTAAGTTAAATGTTACATAATTCCGCAAATGTCTAAGATACAGGCGTTGACCTAGGCTTGCTTTTGGACTCGCATTTTGGACTAAATAATTTATAAAGTTTTTTTTCGGTCAATTTCAACTAAACGTCGTTTAATTTAATACCCGACCAATTCAATATCATTTGACATTAAATGCTGCCTTACAACAGCATTTTATCGCCAAGATGTGTCATTCGATTTCATTGGTCCACCTTCTTTCGACAAATAAGTTCATTCAATTTAAAATGACCGTTAACGTCAATCATGATTGTTGAAATGTTGTTGTTATCGCAAGAAAACGTAAAAAACCAAATCGGCACAAAAACAAAGTTTTCTGTGAAAATAGTCCGAACTCATTATTTATCGTTCATATTAACATAGTCCAAACGACTTGACAGTCATGAAAAATTATCAATCCTAACATTTTAGCTGACAACTATTTTCTTTTACTCAAAGTATGGTTGCCATTAAAACACACACAAAGAAACTTTTTTTCCCTTTTTCCCATGGGAAAATTATGATGCTTTGCTCTTTAAAAAAAATGTCCTAAAACCCCATTACTGATGCCCAAGTCGGAACAATGCTTAGCCAATACAGGCTTAACATACGTTGGCACGATTCCAATATGTACAGAAGAGCATGGCAATTTCAAAAACACAGGTGAAACATACGTGGCTAGTTTTTACTTGTAATTACATGACCACAGACTCAGTTGTACGTTGCTTTATTTTAACTGACTTGATATTATTTTAATTAACCAAATTGATATTACATGAGAGCAAGACAACTTAGTCTGCAGACAAATCCTCGACTAAAGTTTCTGATTTTAGGGTTTAATATGATTTTTGAAGGGTTAACATTTGTGTTAAAACAAGTATCCGTTAGATATATTCATAAGTAGTTTAACGGCTATTTCTATTTCTATTTCCAAAATAGGTTCCTGTTTTTTTTCTGCTGTGAAAAATGTTTCAAAAATTGTGTAGGGGGAAAAAGTATTTTATCCTGCCCGGATCATTCAGATTCACAAAAGAATATCTGACAAGCAAAGGATGACCAATGGCGATTTAAAAAAAAACCGAGTATCTGGAAGCTGTTAAATTCTATAACATCCAACAAACTTTCCATTTAAAACTTCACTAAAATGACCAAACACAGCCTTACAATTTAAGCACAGTTAAAGTTTTAGCACAACACTGTTTTTTTATACACACCTCGTTTTTGCGATTTTGTTTGTAATGAAACAAAATTGTCTCCCCAAATTTTGAGGGGGTTAAAATAGCCCATCGTTGGGCCAGCATCTCCGCGACGTCTTTAACTGATCTGCATGCTCCTTATCGTTGCATCATGGCCGAGGCCGACGGTGCTGCTGGACCGAAACCTGGACTGTCGTGGCGCCCATTATGTGGATGAATTCCCGAGCCGACCTTCCTAAATTGTCACGCGGTTCTTGAGACTTCAGTTAAAAGCACCCAATCAATTATTCATGAATAAGCCAATGTGGAACCATTAGTGTCTCAGAAACGCTTCGTTGGTAAAACCTTTCCGTTACAAAATCCTCGTGTCTCTATACTTCCATTAATAATTCAGTAACCTTGGGAATATTACAACCAGCTAAACGACCATCTTTCCATCAATGTTTCATCAATGTACCATTAAAGCTGATAAAATAAAATCCACAACATAAGTACTACTGTTTTTTTAATGAACGCGTAATGCGTGGAATCGCTAAAACCATCATCCTGATTACGTTTCACGACCGCTATATGTTTCACTGAATCTGTAAGATCTGCACATGGCCCTATACATGTAGAACTTTTTTAAACAATAGATCTCCAAGAAAACTTTTGTCACATGGACAAATAAAGTAGATTCTTAAACATGATCCTATAGAGTATTTCACTCCATTAACCATGGTGAAGTTACAACAGGTGAGGAATTTACAGAGTATACAAGAAAACTTAGATCCAACATGTGAGCTTTTTTTAGCTTCAAAATAGCTCTAGATACTTTACACATGACCCTAGAGTATATTACACGATGATTCGCACTCAAGACGCGATGAACAAGCAGCTTTCAAGAAAATTGCAGAAATTTCTACAGAACGGAGGAATAGAAGATCTCTACACTACTTCACATGGCCCTAAATAATTTTGCAAAATAAATTGGAAAGATTTTTTTTTTACAAAAACAAAGTAAGACATGTTCACTTGGCCCTGGAATCCTGTAAATAATCTGTCACATAAGTACAAAAGATAACGCAACAAAAATTGGGTCTGGCAGAAATATCTTCAAAACGGCGATAACAGTTTTGTACACATGGCCCTAGGATTTTTTCACAATGACAATCAATATGGAACGACGAGAAAATACATGATAGATGCGACTAGAATTTCAAAAAGTTTGATTCGTACCCATGGCCCTAAATATCTAACACGAATTGTTACAGACGGAAAAAAATATTTCGTACAAACATTGACCCTACTACAGCTCACAATCATTGTCTTTAAATGTCAAGCAGTAGACCTAATACAACAGAAATGTATAGATGGTGCAAATTGGAAGAGAAGCAGGACGATTTACTACACATGGCCCCATCATGATTACGACATAAAAATCCTTCCTAGATACAAGTAGCAGGTGCTACGTAGTTTAGCAGTTGGCCCAATCATACACGATGGCCCAATCATAATTTCACATGGCCCTATCAATTATTCTGCGGACCCTCGTAGTCGTGTACATATTTCGTTGTTGTACGTTACTTGTACTCTTTTAACTTTGCTCGCACTCGAGCTCGAACACGAACTTGGTTCACACTTGAACTCAAACACGAACTCGTAATCAACGAACGATACACTTGTTGTTTTAATATACCTGCAGGTCGATATACACCGTCTTATTTTCTTCCTATACACTAATCGGTCAAATGATTGACAAATGCTTGACAAGAATTAATGATTGACGCTAAATTTGTTCGCACTCGAACTCAACACGAACTCGTGAATCGTGAATAAACGATAAACTCGTTGTTTCAATTTATACCCGCAGGTCCATGTCTTATTTTTTTCCGATTCACAAATCGCACAAATGATTGACAAAATTTAATGATTGACGCTAACTTTGTTCGCGCTCAAACTCAACACGAACTCACTCGTAATCGTTAACGAACGATACATTTGCCGTTTTAATATACCCGCAGGTCGATATCCATCGTCTACTCTTATCGAACAAAATGATTGACATTTAGGTGGGTTTTTTTTTCGATTTCACTTTTACGCTCTTAGAATTTCTCCTCATTGATTAATTTTTCCTTTGAAGATTTTTGCCTTTTAATTTTACACGTTATTTTTTTTGAAAGACGTTTTCAATCGAACCGAGAGCGCACTAGTGCTCCTTTCGAATACGTGATTATTTTCGGAATCGTACATTACTGACACCCGAAAACGTTGGCATTACGAAACAAATTATTTTAAATTTATTTGCACATCCAAGCGGCGGGATTTGTATTCCTTTCCCATCTGGTGCTTGGTAAGATTGTGTCTGATGAACTATTAATCGTGCGGAGAGGTTCCTTGGAAAATATAATTATTATTTTTAACTCTCTTTGTCTTCTCTATCTACAAAACATAATCTCTTACAGGTTTTACAACTTTATACATTGATAATTCTATACTGAATTAATTTGTTAACAATTTAGCACCCATCAAGATGTTATGTTTCTCAATAGAAGTATCCATTAAGAGTATCGTCTTTATCAATAGAATCTCCCATCAAGGGTGTCGTATTTCTCAATAGAAGTACCCATCAGGGGTGAGGTCTTTCTCGATCACCCATCAAGGGTGTTGTGTTACTCAAAAGTAGCACCCATCAATGGTGTCGTGTTAATCAATACAGTAGTAGCACCCCTCAAGGGTGTCGTTCGTAGCACCCATCAAGGGTGTTGCCTTAGTACCACCCATCAAGGGTGTCGTGTAGCACCCATCAAGGGTGTCGTTCTTCTCACTAGTAGCACCCGTCAAGGGTGTTGCCCATCAAGTGTGTCGTGTTAATCAATAAAGTACATGGTGTAGCACCCATCAAGGGTGTCGTTCTTCTCAATAGTAGCACCCATCAAAGGTGTCGTCCTCAATAGTAGCATAGCACCCATCAAGGGTGCTAGTAGCACCCATCAAGGGTGTCGTCCTTCTCAATGGTAACATTACGGGTGTTGTATTTCTCAAAAGTAGCACTCATCAAGGGTGAGATTATGGTAGCACCCATCAAGGGTGTCGCTTTTCTCAATAGTAGCACCCATCAAGGGTGTCGTCTTTCTCAATCATATATTTTCACCTCTAGAGGGCGGTATTCCAATGGACATTGAGTTTTCAGACTTATTTCGCAAAAGTTTGAAAATGAGTGCAAAATGAACATCTTTACACCATTATTTCTTCAAGGTAAGTCCTTCGGCTTTACACACAAAAAATCAGCAAACTTAATACGGTTGTGATGCGGCCGCAGGCAAGTTATAACATTGATTTCTGTTGATATGATAACATCTCCAATTATCCGTCTTCATCGCAGATTCTTCAGTTTGTTATTCAAATAAAATCCCAAACGTTAAAATTTAATTTTCTTCATACTTCAACTGGCGTTACTTTTGCCAATGCACAAAGGCATTGTCAGGATAACGTTGGTATAAATTAAATACGTTCGTTCCCTCCCCGATTCCCAAAGTTCCTAATTGTCTTGCAAGCTGCTATTTGCTCGCTTTTGCAGCACGCTAAAGCTTCCTAAATTTTATTTATTGATGTATTATTATTTTATTTACATTTATTAAAATTAAAGTGCTTATGCACTTTAATTTTTATATTTTATTTGGCTACATATATAGCTTTGCCTTCATTTTTATTCGTTGGTATCCCTCAAAACAGGAAACCTCATCGAGTTTTTCTGAACTTAAGATTTTCATTTTATTTTCCAGTAAGAAAAGCTGTTTTAATGATTTTGATTCAGTAAAAGACCTTTTTTACAATAACTATATTTTAAAGAGCTCCGTAGTAGCTATGAGTTGATAAAATCTTCTTTTTTTTATCACGGAAGGTAGACATCATCCGTTTTAATGAAA